TTTTACATTTGAATTTTTGATGATTCTTTTGAAGGCAACTGAAACATAGTTTTTTTCCGGTTACCATTTCCCATCTCTTATTCAGGTCATCATGATTCATCTGCGGACAAATGCTTTCTTGATGTATTTTGTCACAGCAACCACATGTCTTGTGAGTGTTTTGGGTGTGAGTATTGCATACTCTTTCATTTCTCTTCATTTGATTTGTGAATTTCTGTGAGAATGTTTCATTGCGTGGGGTACTAACATTACACGCAAAGCTTGCTTTCTCGTTCAATCACAAAGAGAAATCTTCCAAATTGATATCACCCTTTTTCATTTCCAACTTTTCAGCCCAGGATAATTTCATTGAATCCGGAATTTTCGTCAGTAATTCACGAATAAATTGAGGATTTTCGAGATAACGTTTACTAATGAATCAGCTTTTCAAAGTTATTTTCTCTTATGGAAGGAAGGATGCTGATTCTGTTCATCAAAATATCTATGATGTATTCAGGTCTTCCGAATCGTTTCTCTAAAGTTTCAACCACAAGATCTACGTTATCGGCAGTTAACATCATTGCTGCAACTGTTGTCTTTGCTTCCCCTTTTAGAAATCTCTGCAGCTTCAGCATGCAGAGATTCTTCATTGCTGTAGTCACAAAACTTGCGAAGATTCTTGAAAGACTTATGGAACAGGGGCCAATCTTGGGGACTGCCATCAAACTGTGGAAAATCCTTCTCTAACATTTTTCGCATGTGAAATTTATCTGGATTCATTACTTCAAGTGACGTTGGGTTTTGAGTTGTTGAAGCTGGGAGAGAAAACGTTCTGAGAACGTTTGCCACAGTTCCGCAAAGCTGTTGTATGTCTTGTGATGTGATATTTCCTGGTTTCTCTACGGGAAATTGTCCTTCGACCTTGGGTATGTCATCATACCCATGTTAGGAATCACACGTTAAAAGGTAAGACCTCGTTAGTCCTTTCCTTAGCTCGCACAAGTTTTTAACTTCTGAGAGTTGTCGTTCGTATGGGGGCGACAGCTGATTAACGGAAAAACAGATTTTAAACAGATTTTTTTAAACAGATTGGGTTTCTCAGTTTTTTCAGGAATACGTGACAGATTTTTTTGTCTACCATAATGAAATTGTTCAGATGTGTAATCTACCCATTGAGACACTCTGTTTCTTTGTTCTTGTTCTTCAACTAATTCTCTCCTGATATTTTCGCTTCTTGCTTCTGATTGAACGTAACTGCTGCCTTCTTCTTGGGCATCTATCTCGGCTTCATGCAATTCTTCTTCGAGTTGAAGNTCGTGCTTCAGGTAGTTGACCCATTAGAGGTGGTGAAGGTTTGCTTTTCTCAATCCTACATTTCAAACAGCTTGAGAATGCTGATTTGACTGCAGCTCGACAGTTTATCACCCAGTATTTCTGTCTGATTTCATTTATGACTAATTCTACTCCTCTATGATGAAATTTTTCGTGATAATTTTGTATCAACAATTTGGTGAATTCATGTTTTGGACTCAGAATGATGGGTTGTCGTGTGCTCTCCGCCATAAATTCTGTAAAATTCGTTCGTCCACTCAGTACCATAATTCCATCTTTCATTTCTGGGAATAAACAAGCTAGTTTGCTTTGACCACTCAGAGATTTCCAGTTTTGAGTTTTTGTATTTCTTCTGGAAAACACTCCTGTTGAACATGTTTCAGCCATATCTTCTCAGCTTTCAGGATTTTCTCTACTGTTAGGTTTGGAGGAAATTTTTCTTTGTTCCTCACAATTTCAAAAAATCTCAAACACCATCCGGTGGTCCTGATCAGTCTATTCCACTTCGAAAATCGTCGTATGATTTAATTTTCTGATTTCTCAGCTCTACATCATTTTCATTCAAATAGGAAGGTCTTTTATTTTCAATTGGCCATGATTCTTCTGAGTTTTTGAGAAAATAAGGACCAGAAAACCATTCATTTGAAATTACTCCGTTGATTTTTTTCCTGCGTGTAGCTTCATCCGCGATATTAAGTTCAGTTGGGACCCATCGCCATTCCGCTATACGTCACTGTGCAGAAGAGTTACTAAGGCAAGAGTTTAAGGAAAAGACTATTGCAATATACTGATAGCCAAGCAGCTATAAAAGCAATTAGCTCCATGCAGGTCAATTCCAAACTGGTCTGGAACTGCCTGAAAAAGCTACAAGAACTAGGTAGTCGAAACAGACTGTCATTAGTCTGGGTACCAGGCCACACAGGATACAAGGAGCACGATGCTCCCCCATTGGCCCAGAACCCTTTTGTGGTACAACAAAAGCGCTGCGAAAAACTTGTAACAGCAACTGGAAGGAAAAACAATCTCAAAAATGGTGGAATAAGGCGCCGGGTATGAGACAGGACAAAGAGTTCATTAAAGAGCCATCGCCAAAATTCACGGAGTACCAACTAAGTCTGAATAGGCGACCAACTAGAGTTCTGGTCGGGCTATTGACGGGACACTGTAGACTCAACAAACACATGAACAACATCGGACTGGCAGACACTGCTCTATGCAGGCTTTGCCAAGAGGATGAGGAAACCTCCGTACACATACTATGCTATTGCGAAGGTCTGTCAAGGATAAGGTTTGCAACATCAGGGGAGGAAAAACCACAACCCTCTTAATATATAGGGAACTTGAGGTCTGGCCTATGGAGTCTAGTTACAAGGACGGGCCTAGACAAGGAACTCTAGCATACATGAGGGCACACACAATAGACCTGCAAAGGTCGCAACGTAGTGGCTGTTCAACACAGAAGCCCCATATTAATCTAATCTAATCTAACCAGCTATCGCACAACTACGCACGACAACCCTCAGAACTCGAAACTTGTGCGAGCTAAGGACTAACGAGGTATTATCTTTTAACGTGTGATTCCTAACACGGGTTGGACGATAGCGAGTGAAAATCAAGCATGCTGCCTGCGGCTTGAACCAGCGACTCACACATCGGCCGATTGACTGAGTGAACAAAGCACCCACGTCGAACCGCTCGGCTACCGACCGACCGAAATAAGTTCATTATTTCGGTTACTATACATATTTAAAAAAATACCGAAACACGTCAAATGTTAATTATAAGTTGTTCACAAAAGAACTTACGACAGGTCCGTAATTAAAAATTGTTGTCACTGATGATGCTAGTTAGTTTAAAAGAAAAGCTATAAAAATTTCAAGTGTGATATAACGCTGAATTGCGATTTTATCACTTTATCAATATTTGTAATAAAAGAGAGATCCATATTTGAAAAAAAAAATTTAAGGTGACCATATTGACACGAAACGATTCTTACATCGTTATAGTATAATATGGAATATCTGTTACTGTTAAGAATATAGTAATGTTACCACATGATAAAAGAAACGGCCTATATGAAAAATTTTATGGTCAGGTAAATATTAAACATCTTGAGACCATTATAATATATAGGTCTCTGACTAGAGTAGAAGCTGGTATGGGTAATCTTAGGTCGTTAGATTGACGAAGGGCATAATAATTGGAGTAACCGCTAAATATCAATTTATGTTTGGTAATCAAACATACTGTTTCTAAAATGAAGATTCCAAAAACTGTCAAGATTTTATGTAATTCAAATAGGGGTTTGCAGGAGTCTCGACTTTTGGCATTACACATGAATCTTATAGCTCTTTTGTGAATAATGAACACCGTCTGCATTTGACTTTTGCAACGTACTCCCCGAAAGGAATTCCATACCTTAAATGCGACTCAACAAGTGATAAATAAGCCGATATAGCGGCAGACAAACCAAGATCCTTATATGTCATTCTCACTGCAAAACACCCTGAAGCTAGCTTTTAATTGAGGGTTACAATGTGTTATATTGATTTGTTCATCCTTTTATTAGTTTGCTTTATTCATTGAAAATACGACCATGTAGATAAAAAACAAAATGTTTTAGTTAGTTACTGATAACTGAGTTTGATAGTTATCAAGGAAACAACATTTGGTGACCCCGACGTGATCACGATATGGAGAAACGTACGTCCAAGCGAGAAGGTGCAGGTCTGAATCGAAGTCTGTCATCGGACTACGTATGGCCAAACGGATTTGGAAGTCGTGAGAAACCAGAATCCAGTCTAGACAAACTACCTGAAAAAGTCGTTGAAGATAAATCCGGCGAGTCAACTTCCTTGATACATGAGGTTCACTCAAAGCAGTCTGTTCATTCGAGAGCCTCAAGGGATACCGGATTATCTCGACGAAGTAGTTTGGATTTGAAAAAGAAAAGAATAGCTCTAAAAATAGAAAGACAAAGACGGGAGCTACTAAGAAAATCCAGAGAGCTAGAACTGGAAGAACAACAACTAGAAGAAAAGAACCGTAGAGAGTTGAAGAAGAAGGAAATAGCTGATAGTTTACACCTTCTTCAACTCGAAGAAGAATTGCATGAAGCCGAGATAGATGCCCANGACCTTGGGTATGTCATCATTGGGTTTCTCAGTTTTTTCAGGAATACGTGACAGATTTTCTTGTCTATCATAATGAAATTGTTCAGATGTGTAATCTACCCATTGAGACACTCTGTTTCTTTGTTCTTGTTCTTCAACTAATTCTCTCCTGATATTTTCGCTTCTTGCTTCTGATTGAACGTAACTGCTGCCTTCTTCTTGGGCATCTATCTCGGCTTCATGCAATTCTTCTTCGAGTTGAAGAAGGTGTAAACTATCAGCTATTTCCTTCTTCTTCAACTCTCTACGGTTCTTTTTTTCTAGTTGTTGTTCTTCCAGTTCTAGCTCTCTGGATTTTCTTAGTAGCTCCCGTTGTCTTTCTATTTTTAGAGCTATTCTTTTCTTTTTCAAATCCAAACTACTTCGTCGGGATAATCCAATATACCTTGAGGCTCTCGAATGAACAGACTGCTTTGAGTGAACCTCATGTATCAAGGAAGTTGACTCGCCGGATTTATCCTCAACGACTTTTTCAGGTAGTTTGTCTAGACTGGATTCTGGTTTCTCACGACTTCCAAATCCGTTTGGCCATACGTAGACCGATGACAGACTTTGATTCAGACCTGCACCTTCTCGCTTGGACGTACATTTCTCCATATCGTGATCACGTCGGGGTCACCAAATGTTGTTTCCTTGATAACTATCAAACTCAGAAATACCCAATAAATCCTACTTTAGTCGGGATAAACTTTTAATGACTTTTCCTTTGACAAATTATCAGTAACTATCTAAAACAGACTGGGCGCCTATATTCCGAAGTTGAGGTTTTTACGTCGACGATTCGAATTATGCCATCAACTCCTGGATGAACAGCCGTTATTTTACCTAATTGCCACTTATAGCGTGGTGCTTGATCGTCGACCAGGATTACCATGTCACTGAGTGCTATGGGTTTGCAGTCATTAGTCCATTTACTTTGCTTCGACAAGGTTGGCAGATATTCTCTTGTCCAGCGAGTCCAAAACGAATTAATTAGCATTCAAGAAATTTTCCATTCTCTTCTCAGAGTATTTGCATCTGGATTGATTGGTACCAAATCACCTTCTCCGTTGGAAGAGCCAATCAAAAAATGATTCGGAGTGAGTGCTTCTGCGTCAGCAAAATCCATCGAAACTTCTGTCAATGGTCGGGAATTAACGATTTTCTCCGCTTCCGCAAAAAAGGTTTGTAAAGTTTTTTCTTTCAGGGATGACCCGTAGAGTACTTTGCCGATGACACTTTTCACGGAACCTATTAACCTCTCCCATATTCCTCCCATGTGGGGAGCAGACGGTGGAATGAATTGGAAGCTAATACCTCTTGACGACAAATAATCAATAATCGCTGTTCGATCTATTTCTTCCATGGCTTGGCGAATTTCGTGTGCAGCACCTCTCAGATTTGTTCCATTGTTAATGTCTTGGTTATAACGTGTTTCATAATTATGAAGTTGGCTATGTGTTAAATATTTTTGTTTATTTAATGCAGTTCAGTATATATGCACAACGAAATGTTAGTGTTTAAAGCTCAAAAAAACAATATTTGCAGCACTGGCGAAATTTGAGATTCATAATACTAGGAATGCATCTTCTTTGTAGCATAAAAATGTGATGTAGTGACTCAAACTCAGCACAGCATATGTCATGTTTGAATAAAAATAACCATATTAAGCTGGTTTTATAGTTTCTCTAGATACAGTTTTAACAAGTAATTTTATCATATATGTTATTTTCGAGAGCTTAGACGATAGTTGAATTATGTTTCTTTCCCATATTATCAATAATTATTCCAAAAAGAATCACCTCATCATTTCTTGGCGGATCTGGATGCAGTCTGAGGGAAAAGTTGATATATTGGGTTTTAGTTTGGAGAAAGTTTGTTTGCTAAGAACTATTATTTTATCTGATTCTGTCCTTCGGCCACAATTTCTTGAATTTGTTCTGATGAATTGGTGATATACTTGCATATGAGTGGTGTCATCAGCAAATAGTATGAGTTTTGAGCCAGCTACATTGACTTTTAAGTCATTTATGTAGATCAAAAAAAGTAGAGGCTCCAAAACTGAGCCTAGTGGAACTCCATGACGCAACTGCGTACCATCTGAAGAAAATGTTTATTCAACTACTCTCGAACCATCCAAGAATTATGAACGGAAGCTCTGTCTAACTGAAAGTACATCTCTTGTCTCATTAAAATGAATTTACATAATTCATTTTGCATAATTCATTATAAAAAAAATAAATAGTCGTTCAGCATTAATGGTATTACTGAAGAAAAACGATCCATTTATTCTGTCGCCTAAAATACACTGAACATTAACTTTTTGAGAGTATGTATTGGTCCTTTCAATTTATAACCCAGTGGGGATTTTCAGTAGACCAGTATCTGCAATTTTGAGCAGATTGGTAGTGAACGTAGCCTCAACAGCGAACAAAATTTTCCTTACGAAATTTTTATCATTTAAAGAATTTATTTGGGCCCAATGGCAGTAATCTAATTGTTTGAATTCAGCACCTTCTTTCAATATGTGAAAGAACTTTGGTTTAAAAGGTTTAATTTAATTGCTCAGACCTTTCACAAAAACTGATTCGAGGATTGGCACGAAGCTAAAACATTATCATCATCATGGGATGTTGGGATCGATGGTTACCCTACATACTTCGTTAAAAATTGTGCCTATGGTCTATGCTATGCCTTGAGCATCTTATTCAGCAAATCCATGCAGTCTGGTCGTTTCCCAAAGGTTTGGAAAACTGCTCTCTTAATCCCGATTTATAAAAACTATGGTAATAGAAACTCAGTAATAAATTTTGGACAAAAACTCCCCAATTACTAGAATGTGTGATTCTTTCAACAAATATTGTAGTAATGTAAATGTTTTCTCTATTACGTTGAATTCCTTTAAAATTATTTTTTTCGTTTATAGTTTGTACAGTATCCTACAAGAAGTAAGTTGAAAAATTTCTTTTGAGTGTATATAGTGTATATGTGGGTATATTTCTTTTTATCACATCATTAATTTTTTCATATAATATTTCAACTGAGTACTGTGTCCACGTTTTTCTCCTAGAAACAATTGAACCAATTCATTTGCCCAAGTTCCAAGTTTATTTTACCATAAAATACGTTGTTGAAGTTCAATTTAATGCTTAATTTTTTCAACATGAATACATTTTCTCTTTTTCAGAGTGAATGAATAAATTCATAAAGCCTCATTATTCGGTTATAACAATGTATAACGAGGCGACTTATTATTAGTCTAGTAAATGCACTGATCTCAATGTTCTAATCCATTAATTCAATGTTGAAATGCGGTGAGCTTGACATGTTTGTTGAAGGTTATTAATAGCATTTAGCTGAAAAGAACTGTACGTCAGACGTGAAAAGCAGTTCATGAGTTATACTGACCTTTAATTTTCAAACGAATAAGTTCAACAGTTGCAAATAGTTGAAAACTTTAATTTTTTGAGGCACAACATTGAACAACTTTTAAAAACTTTTTTCATTATATATACAGAAACGGGTGGTTTGAACGAAGTTTCCGCCTGCAAAGGGTATGTTATTTTAATTTTACATCGAATGTCTATTCACTATTTTTCGAAAGTTAGAATCATATTTTAAGGTACAACGACATATTAATCATCAGAAACAATCATTACTACTGACATTCGATTATTAGTGTTGACCGCAGAATAAACTCACTCTCATGATGAGTACAAAATTTCCAATGATGTCAGATAAGATAAGATTTCTACAAATGAAGGAATTTACTGTGGAAACTGAATCAATGTTTCATTAGGGTGCTAATTTTGTTTACATATACTTTTCATTTAAATATGTAGTATCTATTATCTACAGGGTGTTTCAAATTCGATCCTCACGATTGGGATCTCGGAAACTATGAGAGATACGAGATGGTTAAATTGGGGCAAAGTTGAGCATTGACCTGACTAACAATATGCCGTTGAGAAAGTTCTGAAATTCCGAGTATATCTGAAGATATCCCGAAAGACGACATCCACATCAAACTATGTTTAAGTTATTGGATCAGAATCTCACAGAGTTTGGTTCGTTTGAAAAGCCAATGAAAAAATACGGAAACAGAATCAACAATCAAAATTTGATGCATGAGGTGTGTATGAGGTAAATTAGACATGAGGTAAATTAGACTGTGAGACAGAATGGACCAGGAAACTAAAGAAACTTTGATAAATGAGGTAAGTTAGACATTGTGTCCTTTTCAATAAAAATTATAAATTTGCAGATAAACATGAACCCGGGGAAATCTATACGTAAAATTAACTCCGAAATGAATATTTGTCATACAAGTGCTTAGAGACAACTAAAACAAAAGCGGTTTAAAATGTTACAAAATACACATGTTTCAAAAATTGCATCCAGGTGATACCGAAACGCGATTAGAATTTTATAATTGGCTAATAATAAGACCTGATTTTCCTATTTTCCTGGAAAATGTAATTTGAACAGATGAAAGCACTTTTAGGAATTGTGGGATATTCAACCGAAATAACGAACACATTTGGAGCATAAACAACTCTAGGCAGTTCCGAGAAATTCGACCTCAAGTGCGATTTAGTATTAATGTGTGGGCAGAAATTTACAAAGATAGAATTTTTGGTCCTCATTCATTTGACGGAATTCTGAATGGAGAAACCTATCACCAGTTTTTAATGTCGATTTTCGAAGATTATTTGGATGATCTACCTTTGGCTAACTATAATAACATCTGGTTTCAACATGATGGTGCTCCATCGCACACTACCAGACGAGTATCTAACTACCTGACTAAAATGTTTGGTGATAAATGGATGGGGAATAATGGGCCGGTGAGTTGACCAGCAAGGTTTCCAGACTTAAGATTATAGATACATTCTTATGGGGTACACTGAAAAACAGAGTTTATGATCAGAGGGAATATCAGAATATTGAGGAGGAGGGAAATTAATCGTACAGTGAATAATATTCGAAGAAGGGCATAGTTGTGTTATCATGAACATTGAGCATTTGCTGTGATTTACTTTTGCCTTTACATTTTAATTAATTATTGTTATTTGTTCAAAGTTTTATTTTCATTGAAAAGAACACAGTGTCTAATTTACCTCATACACACCTCATGTATCAAATTTTGATTGTTGATTCTGTTTCCGTATTTTTTCATTGGCTTTTCAATCGAACCAAACTCGGTGAGATTTTGATCCAATAACTTGAACATAGTTCCATGTGGTTGTCGTCTTTCGGGATACAAGTTTAAATACTTTTCCGATGTCCTAACATTGTTTCTATCGTATTTGTAATACATTTGTATCATATATCTTTTCTCTTCATTCGTGAAAGCCATTTTTCGTCAAAAATTCAATGACTTGTACAATAACAAAATGTCATTGAGTGTAACAAATTGAAAGTCAAATTTAGAAACATCAAAGTCAAAGCCTAATATGATAAGAATTAATTTTTTTCAATATCTTCAATTTTTCGAAAAAGAATAATAGCTTATGATACATCATTAAAAAGGTAAAATCTGGTTCTATTCAAACAGAAAGAATTCAATGCAGCACACATAAGATAAAATAAAGTTGATGATGGTGGACGGAAAACGA